ATACACTCCAACACACCGTTAATTCCTATGTGATGGATTTTTCTGAGCAATAAAATGCACAATGTATTACAAATAACCATGATCTTAATGCCCATAATCTGACGTACAAATGTTACAGGTATTCAATTTGGGGGCTTTTTATGTAGAGCATGCATCCTCCTGAATGATAAGTTGACGGGCAACAATTTGTTTGAGTGAGTGTCCAAGCTAGACTCACTTATAGTTTATGCCATCATGAAATCCAACCTTCAATGCATTTTTGATGTAGAGCTAATTTATTTCGTGGAGAAGTTTCATACCCCATCTATAAGATAAGACGTAGAGAGGAACCACGATGTTCCTTTCGTGGTATATAACTTGCGCATGGGATGTTCGCCCCACATCGAAATCAACGCCCTGGCCAAGCATTCAAATTGAATTTTATTGTGCTGACGATCGATTATTGAGCTAGCTTGATTTCAAACTGCACGCAAAATGTTTCCGACATATATATAGTACAATGCAACCCCGAGCTGTTCTCGGCAAGGATGCTTGCGGGTCGGCCAGTGGGGTTGGGCGTCTTGCTCAACGACTTCGACGTTGATGGATTGAGTCCAAAAAAACCAAGTTGTTGGGGGGGGGAGGCAGTCCCGCCAATCCCGACACATCCTTGCCCTTTTGCCACAATGATGTCGAGCGGGGCCCAGCCCCACTCATCCCCGAAGTTACACCTTGCAAACTCCTACCCTTATTTGGCATCGCTCTTCCATGCACATCGGTGGTTCCTTTTGCGGTATAGAACTTGTGTGTGGGATACGTCCGCCCCCATCGAAATCGACGCCCTGACCAAGCATCCAATTTTATTGTGCCGATGATCGATTATTAGGCTAGCTTGATTTGAAATTGCACGTACAACATTTCCGACATACATATACAATGCAACCCCGAGATTTTCTCGACAAGGGTGCTGGCGGGTCGGTCAACGGGGCTGGGTGTCCCGCTCGACAACTTTGACGTGGGTGGAACGAGTCCAGAAACACGCAAGTTGTCGGCTGAGGTCCCAGTCCTGCTGACACAGACAGATCCTTGCCCTTTTGCCACAATAATGTTGGGTGGGCTCCAGCCCCACTCATCCCGAAAGATACCAATTGCAGACCCCTGTCCTTATTTGGCATCCCTCTTCCATGCACATGCTCGTCACAACTCGCAAACTCAATGTCCATTTACAGATGAAACTGTGCACGACAAGATGTAATGACTCACGTACAACGGATATTCCGATGTATAAGTTCCCAGGGACCCTCTCTGGTCATTATTGTGTGTAGTGAGGAGCAAAGAGGGCCAAAGTTGTGAAGTCGCTTGTTGTATTGAACTGTCGATCGGATACATCCGCCGCGCACCCAACTGCCTACACGCAACATCATGCACCGTTTTTATGAGAGGAAGAACCGTCTCTTTGACGGGTGGCGGATACATCCGGTCCAAACACTGCATTGGCTGAACATGCATGAATGCATACATAGAGATAGATTTATAGACAGAGAGACAGTAATTATTATTGGAAATTTCCGAAGGAGGCGGGTAACCATTAGGAACTCCTATTGAACACTGCAAGTGAAAAAGCTACGAATTGCTTGTGGACCGGATACATCCTGCCCACATACCTGAAATCGCTGAATTACCGACAAAGCCAAACTATGAAGAGAGAGAGAGAGAGAGAGAGAGAGAGAGAGAGAGAGAGAGAGAGAGAGAGAGAGAGAGAGAGAGAGAGAGAGAGAGAGAGAGAGAGAGAGAGAGAGAGAGAGAGAGAGAGAGAGAGGAATTATTATTGGAAGTTCCCGAAGGAGGCGGGTAATCATTAGGAACTCGTATTGGAAACTGCAAGTGAAAAAGTCACGGGCTGCCTGTGGACCAGATCCATCCTCCCCACGTAACTGAATTCGCTGAACTATTGACAAAGCCACTCCAACGAAATAGTTTGTCACAGCCCCTTGTTTGTTGTCCTCTTCTCCCTCTCTGCTGATGGTCTACCGGGGAACTGTGTTTGACAATATATATGAGTCGGCGAAACTCTGACAAAACAATTCGTCACAGCCCTTCGTTTAGTGGGCCTGGGCGCAGACACTGGGGCCCGAATGGAAGCTACTTCCCCAGCCAGGCCCGCGGAGACAGAGCAGGTGCTGCACTTTCCATCAAGGAAAGAGGCCAGGCCAGGGCAGGATATTCTGGCCTTAGCAGGCAATGCGGACATGCTGCTGCGCTAGTGTCTGCTTGTGCATGCTGGTCGGACGCGCGCACGGGCGCTGAGGTGAGGGGCGCTGTAAGGGCAGCAGGCGCACAGCAGCTATAGCCTGGCTGCAGGGGCGCAAGGCAAGTGATGGCGAAGGTGGCCTTCGGGTAGGAGGCAGATGATGTGGGGAGACGAGGGGTGATGACGAGAGGAGCGAGAACGTACCTGGTCTACGCTGGTGGTCGGCATTGGTGTTGACGTCACATACACTGGTCTTCGACTTCAGAGTGATCCAGTTGCAAGAACTTAGATAGGCTAGATAGGCTGAGTAGGATAGGTTGGGTGCTGGGCGCCAGACATTAAGTGCGACATTGGATACAGTGTCGGTGTGACCAGAGAGTGGCGACATTGACACCTGAGTTCATTGTATTGCTCTTATTTGGACGGTGTCTTGGTGCATTGCACTCTCTGCTTGGTTCATGACTATCTGAGCTTCTTCATGATTTTGCAACTTGGTTTTCTGTCTATCGCTCTCGCTCATATTCCTTGCATATATGTACTGCTGGGCCTAGAGTGAGCCTCCGAACTGGAGGCAGGGGAACCAGGCAGGATGAAAATATGGCGCCCAGACTGGAACTAGGCAGGACGAAATATGTTGCCCAAACTGAAAATAGCCAGGATGAAATATGGCGCCCAGACAAGAACCAGATAAGATGAAATATAGTGCCCATTGCCGCCCAAACTGAAAACAGCCAGGATGAAATATGGCGCCCAGACTGGAACCAGGCAGGACGAAATATGGCGCCCAAACTGAAAATAGCCAGGATGAAATATGGCGCCCAGACTGGAACCAGATAGGATGAAATATGGTGCCCATTGCCACCCAAACTGAAAACAGCCAGGATGAAATATGGTGCCCAGACTGGAACCAGGCAGGATGAAAAATGGCGCCCAAACTCGAACCAGGCAGGATAGGGAAAGGGACTGACTCTAGCTAATGGGAGACTGCTGAGACTCGGAAAGGAGGACTAGCGACCCCTAACCTGTGCCTAACCCTCTAGCCTACTATGGGTGGGGGGGTGGGGGGGGTGGGTGAGGGGAGTGGGGGGGGGTGAGGGCACAGTTGTGGGAGGGCTTGGGGTTTTACAGGGGGTATGAAACGGCAGGAAGAAGAGGACAAGAAGAAGAAGAAGAAGGGTGGTGGAAGAAGAGGAAAAGAAGAGGACAAGCGAAGAAGAAGAAGAAGAAGAAGAAGAAGAAGAAGAAGAAGAAGAAGAAGAAGAAGAAGAAGAAGAAGAAGAAGAAGAAGAAGAGAAGAAGAAGAAGAGAAGAAGAAGAAGAAGAAGCGACGACGACGACGACGACGACGAAGAAGAAGAAGAAGAAGAAGAAGAAGAAGAAGAAGAAGAAGAAGAAGAAGAAGAAGAAGAAGAAGCGAAGGAGAAGCGAAGAAGAAGAAGAAGAAGAAGAAGAAGAAGAAGAAGAAGAAGAAGAAGAAGAAGAAGAAGAAGAAGAAGAAGTGAAGAAGACGAAGAAGAAGACGAAGCGAAGAAGAAGCGAAGAAGAAGAAGAAGAAGAAGAAGAAGAAGAAGAAGAAGAAGATCTCTCTCTCTCTCTCTCTCTCTTCTCTCTCTCTCTCTCTCTCTCTCTCTCTCTCTCTCTCTCTCTCTCTCTCTCTCTCTCTCTCTCTCTCTCTC